AGGTTTCTTCAGGGATGGTGCTCAAAATCTTCCATTTTGCCCCGGTGGCTGGCGCAAAGATGTTCTTTGTAGTTTCGCCCTTCACTTTCTGTTCTGGGTGTTGAACTTGAACTGTAGCCTGTCACCGACTTCTGTGAAAGCTTTCAACTTGATTTTGAAGTTTCCTTGCACTAGGTAGTCAGTGGTACAAACCGGAATCTGCTCCCACTTGATCCGGTCTTGTGTCCAGTAAGCCGCGTCTCCACTTTCTTCACGCGGAAATGAAGTCGATCTGAATTTTAGTGTGCCCACCCGATAAAATTCATGCCACTTTGTAAATAACCTTGTGCTTGTACACACCGCCTCTAATCACCAAATCGTTGAGTGCGCGGAAACCTGCTAGTAGGTCTCCATTCTCGTTCATTTCGCCGACCCGTGATCGGTTCTCGTCTTGTGTCGCCAGCTTCCGGTTTGGCATTCATGTCACCCCACACATTGGAATTTCGGTGTCGACAACTGTGGTGTAGCCTTGTCCAGTAATGATTGCAGTCATATGCAGACTTCCCCCTTCTTCTGCTGGCCTGCATTATTTGTAACTGAGTAGCCTAGCGTTGTATGATTGCGACTCTCCTTCCTTTGTAGTTGAACCACGCTGTCATGATCCCGCAGGAGGAGATTGGCTTCCGTTGCATGAAAGAGAGCCTTCGATGCTCTTCGAGGTGACATGATAGCTTCTCCCTCAGCCTGCTCGTGGTTGTCGTCTGGGCGATAATACCGGAGTAGACTACTGACTCTCGAGTTGACAGTTGTGAGAGTCCACCTAAATTTCATCTGCTTTCGCAGATTCCTGGCAATTCCATGCTACACCCTCTCATTTCTTTGGCAATATGGGCATGCTTGCCAGCCAGCCAGCCAGATCCAAACATTGTGCGGACATTCCATGTCCCCGTTCTTGCTTTCGCTTTCATCGAAGGAGAGGAGACAAATCGGCCGAGTGGCTTCCCGAAGGCTTTCACTAACTGGTGTATTTCACCTCGGAGATCCCAGTGGGGAACAACTTTAATTTTATGTTTGATTTGGAGTTTGTTCAGCGGTTAGATTGGTTTTACGGGGTAGGGTTGTCATTCATATGCCTGACATTCCCTCTTTATCCGGGCTTAGGGCCGGTTAGTAATTAGTGGACTAGTTAACCAGGCGAGATAGCCGATAGCAATACGGTAAATTCGTGTCCGGGCTTGGGTGGCAGAGGGAGCAGATGGAGTAGCACAACGGTGATGGCTGTACCAGAAGTTAATCCTGGCTGGAAATGGGTTGAAATCCGGACAAAGAAGTGGAAAACGATCCCCGCTACCTGACCTACAGCCTGCCGGTCCTCAGTTGCAACTTGGACGACTCTCAGACTCCCTCTGGTGTCACTGGACGGCTGGATACGCTAAGTGCCTCGTATACGGGGTCCATAGAACTCCCAGCGCCAAAATGGAACGGAATCGGCAACCGCCTCGAGTGTTGTTCACGGTGCGACTATGGGATACTAGTACGTAACTGAAGAGGGGCTGTTTAATGCCTAAACTCCCGACCCTGAGCAGGACAGGGCAGCTTCGGGCCGTATGTTTGACCGAAACCCACTTAAACCCATCAAAGAGGCTTGGGTGCACGTGAATATTGGTGATGGCACGCTCTAGAGGCCGGGCGGAAAGTCATCCAGACCGGACAATCTTCCTGTTGGCGAACATCCAGCGGCAGGAAACTTTCTAGTCCAAGCTCTTCCGGGAGCAGGAGTCATGGTATGGTAGTATTCGCCCTGGTGTTCTGTGAAAGACCAATGTAAGAGATGTCTCACTCTTGTCTTTGCCACAACAAGGCAAGCTACGTGGCGATATGCACGAATCAACACTGGAAACTAGTAAGGGATACCATTAGAAGGACTCTCTGTGAAAAGATCCTGGTCGTCACAACGGGAAGCGAACCCCGTGACTGAAACAAAGCACCGAACGTCCGCCGAAAGCATGGCACAACTGTAGAATACACAGAAAAGAGTCAGATCGCAGCACATATATGGCTCTAATTAGTTGACGCAGCATCAAAGCGAGGGGACAGCAGATAGTTCAAGAAAAACCTCGTCCAGAAGCTTGAGGCAAGCCTCAGTAACTCATATTGATTCGTGGTAGAGGGAATCTACTGGCCAGGCAGCCTGAGTTATAAAACTTTTGCCTGGAGAGCATGTTCCCCGGCTAGAGATTTTAGAAGTTCTTAGCCACATCTTCAACACGCATTCGAGCCATCCACCACCGAGAGAAAATCACAAACCGCTTCAGCAACTTTCGACATTACCCAATGTAAAAGGGTTGCCTGGAAAACAGGTGTCTCCTGTCATGGCGAATCTCCACGCAGCGAAATCCTCATGGTGTGTTGACACTTGGCCTTCTGTGTTGAAACAGTAATCGAGTGCCCCGTGTGGTCTACCTTGTAACCGGGACCAACAATCCCCAGATAAGCACTTGCCCCTGTGGGAGTGGAAATTTGACATTTCCTGTCCTGTAATCCAAGTCTTCTCGAGTCATTCCGTCGGTGATTATTTTGGACTGTGCCAAGGCCTCTGACGCAGTCCCATACACCATTCTCGTACGCGAAATAGCAAGGTTGGTTATCAATGTTGCGGTGGTTTCCTGATCGCAGGGCTATTTGAAGTGAATAGAATTCTACTCAAAAAACAACAAAGTTCTCTAAGCTTGGAGGATATCGTCATCTGGTATATCACATGGAGCTATTCAGCATCCATTGCCATTCGTTCATCTGTGAATGACCTCCTATTGAGTCTCAGCTGCTCGATTATAACTAGTGTCAAGAATGCTAAGTTGTGCAGAGCTGTGACCCCCGTCTCAGGATGAAGTGCACTAGAAAGGGATCTCAGATCGCTTGCAGAATGATCGAACAATGACGGACTAGCATTTAACTCGGATAAGTGCTGAACCATGTTACTCAGCACTCGTGACTAGCGAAAAGTATCCTATTCCCTCTGTGGAAAGCAACTTTCCCTAGCCGCAACGGAGAAATATCTAGAACTAATGCTAACTAACAAGCTAGTCACCAGCTGCAACTATCCACATCCTGTGTAGTGCTGCACTTCAGGTATAGGTGACCAGGTTCCGTCACTCCAGAACTCTCTGAAGCTACACAGGGCTTAAATACGACCTCACTTGGAGGTCGGCAATGTCACTGCACCACCATTCCTGAATGGAGATGCGAACCTCCTGGAGAAAGTCCGGAGGTGAGCAACAAAGTGTTGTGGAAATAAGGCAAAGGCCCAATTAGGACAGGCTGAAAGACCTGATGGTTTCCTGTCTTGGCTACCGCAGGCTATGCGGCGACTTGATAACAGCCTACAAAGTGCCGAGTAAGCTGAATAATTTGAACGGTCGTGTCCTACCAAACAGTCACCGTGGTGATCCTCACTGTCACCCAAGGAGAATCGCCCACCGAAGAAGGAAAACCCGCGACCATTCACTGTTTTTCTCTCTGAGAGTTTGCGGCCACTGAAAAGCATCGTCTTCCGAGATTGCTTCTACTCCACTAGTCGATGGCTTTAAAAGGAGGTCGGAAAGCCGTGCAGTGACTCGCGGTTTGCCCTAATCCCGCTGGGATTCGGACTATGTCGTTTCAATTCACTAGGTCTGCGAAACTCAGCGCAGTCGACCCCATACCATATCTTCCTTGCGCCAGTATCATCGCAAACTTGACTGGACATCATGTTCCCTTTCAGACGTGTCCCCCGGTTAACATACAGTTACTGATAACATTACTATTTTTGTTTCCCTAATCCGTCCTATAATCTTACGTGCTTTATCTTTTCCTTCTGACTGTACGACCTCATCCCATTCATTCAGGTTCCCCTCATCACCGCTATCTCTCACTAATGTACCTCGGTTTCTTCTTCCCTTCCGTCCAGCATCCTTTCATCTTCTTGTTTCCTCTTTTCTTTGCACTTCCTCTTGCTCGATTTCGCTTGACATCTTTTCGGTCTTCATTTTAAGACCAGTACGACGACTGGGGAACCCGCCTGCACCACAAACTTTGAAAAGGTCTTATAATCGCCAGAAAGTTAATCAGCCCCTTGCCAGCCCGTCGGGCTGACTGGAGTTACAGAGGGCGAGTGGGTAGAGTTACTGCACTGGAATCCACTAAAATCCTAGAACCGTTCCGTGAAACCTAGAAACGAGTCCAAAAGATATATTTCCGATATGTCGAATACTGCATTACGAATGACTCTAATACACTGGTTTCCTAAAAATGTAACTCGACCAAATGCTTTCATCAAGATTTATTCGGAACTGTTGATGAGCCAAAGGTGATGAACACTAGTCATCGATACTCGCAGTTTCCCGTTGTTATTGTAGATCAAATTTCTTGGCCTTAGTTGGAAAATAAGCCCTCATACGCGGGCTTCGATACTTCCTGAGTATTCAGGGATCGAGCTACTCAACCCACTGCAGTAACAAGAAGTCACAAACACAGATGAATAACAACTGATACTGATTGCAAAAGACGTGGTTTTCATGTCCCAATAGTCCACCGAATAACGCTTTGGTGCTTGAAGCGGTGAGCACCTTGGTCGATTACTTGCGAACACTAACACACGCTGGGGTGCGAGTACGTTTAGCTGACGAACCCCAGACAGGACGATTCATACCTTGGATTAGGCTGCTCACCCAGTGAAATGCAGCATAGCGGGGTCAAGTTATTGGATGCGTAAGAAAGGAATTATTTTTCATAGCGCCTGCGTAACCACTTTGGATGACATCTCCATTTTCTGTATTTAGCTTTTAATAACTTATACTTATAGTTTGCATCCCCTAAAGAGAAAATCGGAAGTGATTTTCTCTTAAGATCTGTAACTTTGTAACCAATTAACTTGGACCAAAACTTTGTTTACATCGTCTATTGGTATATCAGGTAGCCAATCCGAAGTACACACATACTGGTTGTTGTATTAAGCACCGGTTTTCTGACTCAGCGAGAAAACGATGTACAGCTTGGTGTCGTTGTTCATGGTGTTTGGATATGTAGCATGCGATAAAGTTCTTGAACTTACGAAGGATAACTTTCACTCTGAATTGAAGTCTCGTCCAGTAACTTTAGTCAAGTTTTACGCACCATGGTAAAGTAGAAATGAATTAACCATAGTTTAATATAATAGGTGTGGTCACTGCAAGAACCTGGCTCCAGCATTCAGTTCAGCTGCGGATATTATTTCTGAGAAGACGGACGATGTAACACTTGCCAAGTTGGATTGTACAGCTCACGAAACAATATGCTCTGAGTTCAAAGTCAGTGGTTATCCTACTCTCAAGATCTTCAGAAACGGAGTGTTAGACACCGAATATAATGGTCCAAGGACTGCAGGTAATTGTGATATCGTTACGATTTTGGTTTAGCGGGTATCGCGGATTATATGGTATCTCGAGCTGGACCTCCATCTAAAGAAATCAGCTCTGTTGCTGATGTCGAGAATGTTCTGTCAGACAGTAAACCAACAGTAGTTGCATTTATAAAGTCTGCCAGTAGTCCTTGGACTGAAACTTTCCTAAAACTAGCAACGTCTATGGTAGACGATGCTTTATTTTCTCATAGTCATAATAATATTTTCGAGAGCTCGGGAGACTAGTGAGTTGCCACTTATTCAACTAAAATGTTCTAGTGAAATAAGGTTATACTTGCCAAAACGCCTTCGGACTAAGCTGGAAGATGACTATACTATGTTTCAAGGAGAAATGACTACCAGCAATCTTAAAAGTTGGGTTAGCGAAAAAGGGTATGAGAATGTTACTTTAATATTGTTGTAGACAGGGACTGGTCGGTTACAGGTTACCATCGAATACGTTCTATTTCCAAGATTCAAACCTCGTAGTAATCTACAACAATCAGTCTATTGACACCTATCCATCCGGTGTAAAATACTTAAGAAATCGCATTTTGAAGACTCTGAAAGACCAAAGTGGAAAGTTCAAAGACTTGAAGTTTGCTTATAGCTTTACTGGGGACTTCTCATACGAACTGACCGAGTTTGGTCTGGAAGGAAGTGAATCGCCAGTTGTCCGAATAAGATCTTCAGACAATAAGAAGTATAAACTTGACAAGTTCAGGTAAGTTGGTATGTTTTCTTACTTGGTTTTAGTCTTGAAGCCTTCCTTGAGTTCCTGAATAAGTTCCAAGACGGTTCGTTAACACCGTATCTAAAAACTGAGTCCCTTCCATCAGATGATTCCTCAGCTGTTAAGAAGTTAGTCGCACTTAACTTCGATGAAATTGTTAACGATGAGAAGAAGGATGTGATGGTTGTGTTTCACGCGCCATGGTGTGGCCACTGTAAGAGTCTGATGCCCAAATATGAAGAAGCAGCCAAAAAACTGAAAGATGAACCGAATTTGATCCTGGCTGCAATGGATGCGACTGCCAATGATGTTCATCCCCCATACGAAGTCACTGGATTTCCGACGATATACTTTGTGCCGAGGGCGAAGAAGTCCTCTCCCATGCCTTACCAGGTAAGTCTGGACTGTTTCTTGACGTTTTTCTTCAGGGAGGTCGTACCACTGAGGATATCATCAAGTTTCTTGCCCGTGAAGCCACTGAAGAATTGAGTAGTTATGATAGGTCAGGCAACGAAAAGAAAAAGGAACTATAGGGGACTACTTCTGTCCATTTTCTCGAAACATTGTATTCTACTTTCTCATTTTTATCCATTGTTTATTAAACCGTTGTGATATTTTCTTGATTTTTACATAAAAATAAACTAGTCTGAATGACTAATGTGTCGGTTTTCTTTGAGTGGGTCTTGGTCATTTTTATACGAAATCTCCCAGTTGATGCAATCCTAACATACGTCTAGTAAAAAACCGACAATTAAAATTTTAAGCAAATTCCATGCCCTTGGTTAGAGCATTAATAGGGTGTGTAGTCTTCCTGACTTATAGTTCTCTGGATGTTGCGGTTGTATTCCATGTGACTGGGTTTCCGTCTATTATCAGTCGTGTATTTGTCCGAATAGCTTCATGTGCTTCAAAGTATTCCATGTCATAACTATCTTATCATCACTAAGTTGCACTCTGAAATACTTCGTGCAGTTTTCACCTTAATGGATCTAATAAGGAATATCAGATGTCCTCCACAGTTGGAAATTCATAATGTCTCGTAAGTTTTACCACACGTGAGTTGACTAGTAGTCGAAGGCTGTTAAGCATTCGAGGCTTTAAGAAATGAGTTATAGAAATACCAATTGGTAGGTTGACCGAACGGTAACAGCACACAACTGGTAAAGACTGTGCTGTTCAGGTTAGCCGTAGTGTTTATTACGCGACATCTCTGCATACTTGCACAAACAATATGTGTGGTAGACGATGCACCCCTTAGTTCGGTAGTTTTCTGATTACCCTGATAATAAGGTTTTCCGCCAACATTCTCTTCATGTGTTCACGGTAGTTATTGCATAATAATTCTGGACGTATAGGCGTAGATACGAAGTTGTTCAGACATTTTTATTTCGTTCAGAACACAGTTTACAGAAGAAAACTCAATTCCGACCGCCAGTTTCACGAGACTTTGTCTAACAAATGAATGGCAGTTGTGAAATAAGAACCGTACGGCATTCATACATTAGGTCTGTGCCTCGCTGACTGCATGTCGTTTCGAAAAACTGCTCAAGCGACCTACTTCTCCTACAACTTTAACTTGTCTGTTATGTCCCATGGTTAGTCGACCGTTATCGCCAACAAGCATAATATTACTAAGTAACATTCGGCGTCGTTGTGATGTATTAATCTAAGCAGTTGGTTTTCAACCAGGTGACATTATAATCCCTCACACAAAAGATGTGGCTCATTACCTACTGCACTCAACTGTTATGTATTTATACATATAACGAAATGTTAAATAACTCCACTGCGTTTCCTCACTTTTCTTAACTCTGACATTCTAGAGGTAACTCTGAAGGTTTGAATGTCTAGCTAACACCCTTTGAAAGACTGAACATGTGGCTCGATCACTACTGTCTCCGGAAGATTGCTGATATCCAGTGGGAACATCATGTAAGTAATAATTAGATGAGTCAGCGTGTGTTTCGACATAATGGAAATCATCCGGAAATACCGACCTCGAAGTCTTGGGCATGAGTTGCGCATGTCTTAGGAGCTCCCCTACCACTCACTGCTCACTTGCCCTAAGATTGTTTAGAAGAAGCTGACTCGTAGCATTAGAACAGTGTTAGTTTTCTTGGGCTAGCATATGTGGGTGTCTCATGACTCCTCGAATAGGATCTGAGAGATCATGCAATTCAGTGGTTTGAGAAGATAGCGGACATGGCTCAAAATGGAAACAAGTGGCGATTGCGTTACTGTTTTCTTATTAATCCTATTACTATGAAACAAAACGAAAGTGGTGGGTACTTCTTTGGATGTACCTTTGAGACCGCTTCTGTACTAACCTACCTCTGTTTTTCTTCCAATCCTCTCTTTCGTTTTCTGTCATCAGAATTTTGCTTTATTATTTTGTACAGGGTATCTGTTAATGATTATTTCGTACCAATATCGTGTTTCAGAAATAATAATAACACGAATGATATAATTTTACTCCGCATTGATATGCAGGTCACTAAAACGGCACTTAGTCAGTTGGCGATTGGCGTATTTAGGTGAGCTGTGGGATTTGTATCAAAATTGAATTGATCAGGATCATTGATTGAATAAAGTCATTTCGTAACACCGGCTATGATGTCTTGAGAATATATATTATGAATTTTCTGTGTACTGCTTCCTTACCCTTCATTGTTCGCTAGCCCTGAAACTGCCTGAAAGAATCTGTGCGTTAGTCAGTGTGTTAATTGGTGCCGCAAGATAAAGGGTTGCTATGTTGCGCCAGCATCTGTCGGTGCTTCAAGAAATCGTCTCATTAGCTTGGGACATTGTCATGTGACTCCAAATCAAAACTAGTGACAAGCATATTAAAATTTCTGAGCATGCTGTGTTTGTAAGAAGTATCATAAATATAAAGTAGGCTTTCTCGAGTATGTCATATGTCACTGATTGTTTCTCTGCTCATTCAACTTTTCTCCCCCTACGACTTTTCCCCTTTGACCTTATAGTACTGTGATACTAAGTTCTGCATAGGATTTTCTGGTACTCATTTTGTGGCATATTTGGCTGTGAAGTATAGCAAAAATGTGGGAAAGTGTTTGTCACATTAAATATACGTAGGAAAATTATGAGCAGCTAGTCGGAATTTTCGCGCGTTAGTTTCCTAGTGACGGTGCTGAGCTTGCATAACATGACAGCTTTTAGCTGGAATATACTTACCGGCTTACTTTAATATGGTAGTCATGTCATCTACCTTGCAATTTGTGCATTTGATGGCTGTTTGGTGTTTACTTTCATGGATTTTCAACCTTGGCATAAACAAATACTAACTGACTGTTTGTTTGTTTGTCCTTAAACAGACTTCAGTCGATTTCAGAGGGAATTATCACTGGTTTGGCAACCTAGTCTTGATTCATCGATTTGTGTGAAAAATACCCAACAAATATTTCAGCGAAGAGTCTCTTTTCGGCGACTTCATTTTCAAAGCTGTACAGTCGCAAATTTATACATTTTTTTCTAGTCCAAGGATTTGCTAGTTAAAAATGGTTTGTCGAGCATGGCAACACAAATAGTGTCAAACTGAATTGTGATCAGGCAGAACATAGTAACAAGAATGAGTAGCAAATTTCTTCAGAAGTGAATAGTATCGATCTGTTTCACGGCATACTCAGACTATGTTACTTGTTTCTGCTCAGTTTGAACTGTCCAAGATGATGATTCATCAACAAATAATTAGAAGTGAATTAGTGGGAACAGTCAAAAACAGTTGATATGAAATGCTGTAATTCTCATGTAGAACTGCAGAACTTTGAATCTAACAAGGAATATTGTAACTGGATTGATTCAATAGGCGTGAGATATTGAGTACATATTTATCTGGATTGTTGGATCTCTAGGATTATGTTGGAAAACTGCTAGTAATTCTGCCTTGTCTTGTCAATTCTGCTAGACCTAAACGTCGGATGAACAGAGCCATAAATTGAGGATCAGCTCACAACTATCCTGAAAAATGGGAAGAATAACTAACTAATTTTCTTCTACATATACAATCATATTCAGTAGTCCCGTAATGATTTTAGATTGATGTTAATCACGGACTGACGTCAGTTGGAGAACCACTGGAGGCCTGGTAATACTGGACAGCTGTTCCGCCCTAGTGCAGGAATCCAGCACTGTGCACCCATGACCTCCCCAGAGATGAAACCCTGGGCCATCAGATTTCGCGGCCAGCACTTGCTTTGAGGTGAGATTTCCGAAGTCTTTATGACCGGTGGGGTTAACCACGTCGGACGTAAGAACAGTCACTCAACTAGGTCATTGGATGGAGGTTGATGTATATCGTGAACTGACAGAAGTAGGAAATGTGAACCACTGGATGCCGACCCAGTGACTCAAAGGTAATGTCCTGGCCTAATAACCTGAAGGTCCTGGATCCATTCCCTAGCGCGGTCATGCTTACACACTACTGAGGAGTTCCATACTAGGACGAAACAGCTGTCCCATGTCACCAGGTCTCCAATGTTTCTGCAGCCGATGTCAGTTTGTGGTGAATATCAACCTGAAATCTATAAATAAATCCCCCGAAATGACTCCTAAAAGAAGGTCAACCTCTTCGTCTGATTCTGAATATGGCTATTTCTTCCTTATCATCGTATTGGTTGACGGTTAACTGATACTCAGGACATTAATATTCTTGGCAAGGTTTTCATTAGCTCATAGTTCACCAGTCTACCACGTACTGAAACCATCTATCTGAAGACATCGATTCACATCATTTAATAACTTCCAACAAGCAGCGCATAAAAGTTATTATTGAAATCCGAATTTATGGTCAACTTTATTTTCAGTAGTGATATATCTTGGGTTAAAAATACAAATACAATAATGTCCCCATTGATGTTAAACCTGTTCAAAGTTGAAAAACACTTAGTTCCATAATACTATTTGACGTTTGGCATCTACGAGATAATACATAGATGAAACTTTCATTTATGGTGTGGACGGCGTTCTACATTCATTCAACAACTAATATTTATCCCTAGAGTTAACTTTTGAAAAGGATAAAGCATTAGTTACTCTTTCTTTTGATATGTTGAGTGAACGAGCTAGCAGTTGATTTGTAAGAAAATAAATCTACAGTAAAGCTACGTGGTTTGTACAACTAACGAAAATTTCTACCTGAATTCTCATCACTAGAGAAAGAGGTCTTATCCTCCTTACGTTTGCACCATCGAGTACCAGACACCTGTAGGTAACATTGTGTTAAAGATAAACCTTGCACTAGATAGTGGTCTGAACCTACATCTGCTCCTCTTCTTGACGTTGTGTCAAGTAGGCTGCGCCTCCACTTTCTTGAGATTGGGATAAAGTAGATCTGATTTTTAGTGTGTCCATCTGGTGAAATTCATGTCGCTTAGTGAATATCCTTGTGCTTGAACACACTGCCTCCAATCACCAAATCGTTGAATGTGAAGAATTCTGCAATCAATTCTCGTTCATTTCACCCAGCGCTTCTCTACCTATAGTTATTTCTCTTCCTGTGTTGTCCCCTCCCAGT